GTATTCTATTCATTCGGGTGCTGCCAAGATGTATTAGGACTTGCGGAAGCATTATTGGTGGAGGAAGATGAAGAAGGATATAGTTGCATATGTAGCTCGGTGTCTAAATTATCAGCAAGTAAAGTACGAGCATCAGAGACCTGGTGGTTTGCTTCAGAAGATAGAGATTCCTAAGTGAAAGTGGGAGCGTATCACTAAGGATTTTGTATTTGGACTCCCACGGACTCAGAGGAAGTTCAATGCAGTTTGGGTCATTGTGGATAGGCTGACCAAGTTGCATTTCATTCATGTGGCAGTTACCTATTCTTCTAAACGGTTGGCAGAGATTTATATCCGCGAGATCGTTCGTCTTCACGGTGTCCCGTGTCAATCATTCCTGATCGAGGTACGCAGTTCACCTCGCATTTGTGGAGGGCAGTACAGCGTGAGCTGGGCACGCAGGTTGAGTTGAGCACAGCATTTCATCCTCAGATGGATGGACAGTCCGAGCGCACTATTCAGGTTGGAGGATTTGCTCCGCACTTGTGTTATAGACTTCGGAGTTCGCCTACAACAACAGCTATCAGTCGAGCATCCAGATGGCTCCCTATGAGGCATTATATGGTAGACGGTGTCGAGCGCCAGTTGGATGGTTTGAGCTGGGGGAGGCTCGTTTTTGGGTACAGATTTAGTGCAGGATGCCTTGGATAAGGTCAAGATTATCCAAGATAGACTTCGCACAGCTCAGTCCAGGCAGAAGAGTTATGCCGACCGTAGAGTTCGTGATGTTGCATTCATGGTCGGAGAGCGGGTGTTGCTCTAGGTTTCACCCATGAAGGGTGTAATGAGGTTCGGAAAGAAGGGCAAGTTGAGCCCTAGATACATCGGACCTTTTCAGATTCTTCAGAGAGTGGGCGAGGTGGCTTACAAGCTCGCATTGCCATCCAGTTTATCAACAGTTCATTCGGTATTCCATGTGTCCATGCTCATGAAGTACCACGATGATCTATATCATGTGCTAGATTTCAGCTCTATCCAGTTGGACAAGGATTTGACTTATGAGGAGGAGCCGGTGGCTATTCTAGCCCGGCAAGTTCGTCAGTTGAGATCGAAGAGTTATCCTTCAATTCGAGTGCAGTGGAGAGGCCATCCCGTCGAGGCAGCTACTTGGGAGTCCGATCAGACATGCAGAGTAGATATCCCCACCTTTTCACCGGCCCAGGTACTTTTCTATGTCCGTTCGAAGACAAGCGGTTGTTTTAGTGGTGGAGAATGTGATGACCCAAAAGGTCATCTTAAGATTTAGAATCCAATTCTATGCTTTTAAGCTTTAAACACCTCATTTTATCCCTCCTCGATTTCGTGCGTAGTCCGGGAGTGTTTCCAGAAAGCTTTTATGTTAAAAGTTGATAAAAATAAGAATTTTGCCTAAAAACTTCATTTGAGTTGACTTCGGTCAATATTTTGATTAAACAGACCCGGATTCCATGTTTTTGACGGTTCCGGTAGGTCCGTATCGTGATTTAGGACTTGGGCGTCTGCCCGGAATTGAATTCGGAAGTCCCTAACCCGAGATATCGGGCTTTGTCAAAATTTTGAAAGCTAAAGGGTTAATGAATTTGAAATGATTAGCCAATAGTTGACTTTTAGATACCGGGTCCGTATTTTAGTTCCGGAACCCAGTATAGGTCCAATACCATATTTATGACTTATCTGTGAAATTTGTTGAGAAACGGAGTTGGTTTGACGTGATTCGGATGTCCGATTGTGAAAATAGAAGTTTCAATGTTTTTTTGAAAAATTTCATTTGATTTAGTGTTCAATTCGTAGATCTAGGTGTTATTTTGGCGATTTGATCTCGCGAGCAAATTCGTATGATATTTTTAGAGCCCCAAAGTCTCGGGTGAGTTTCGGATAGTCCACGAAGTGAGTATTGGACTTAGAACTCAGGCGGTGTTTCAGATTTTTGTTGCAGGCCTCAGACCTCGCAAATGCAAGGTCAATCATCGCATTTGCGAAGAGTTGCTGGGGAGGCCAGAGTTTGCATTTGCGAACAAAACTTCGCATTTGCGAAGTGGGTGCTGGGTAGACAGTGATCGCAAATGCGATCATTGGGTCGTATTTGCGGATGCATCAGAGTTCGCATTTACGAACCATTCTTCGCATTTGCGAAGAAAGCAGAGGTGTGAAGGGCTTCGCATTTGCGATGGTTCCTTCGCATTTGCAGGCTTCTCATTTGTGAAGCCCAAGTCGCAAATGCGACATCTGCACCTGATCAAATATGACTTAGACGGGATTTTTGGTTCATTCTTCAAATTCTTAAAACCTAAAACCTTAGAGGCGATTATCCCAAGACTCTATCTTCCCCAAAACCTTGGTAAGTGATTCTAACCTACTTCCTTTCAATCTTTCTATATTTCACAAGTTTTCAACCTAAAATCTAGAGTTTTCATGGTGGAATTGGGGTTTTTTGGGTAGAAATTAGGGATTTGGTAAATTGGGGATTTAGACCTATAATTGAGGTCGGTTTCCAAAGCAAAGCACATAACCGGGCTCGGGGGTGAATGGGTATTCGGGGTTTGGTCCAAATTTTAGGTTTGGACCAAGCGGTCCCAGGTGTTTACTTTTTCAATAATGACCTAAATTGAATTCTTTACAATCGTGGGTAGTTCCTTAGGCTTAATTTGAATCGTTTGGTTGGTAAATTGCTAGCCTATTGGTTCGGAGGCTTGTTTGAAAGGCAAAGCGGAGGTTGAGCTTTGAGTTTGGTCTTTGGAGTGAGGTAAGTATCGTCGTTAACCTTAACTTGAGGGACTAGGACTTATTTGGCTATTTTCTACGTGTTTAGATGTTGGGTACAACGTATAGGTGAGGTGACGAGTACCTATGCGTTGTTGTCAGGTCAAAGCATGCGGGTGGGACTTGGTTTCTTGTGATTATTGCTTTGTTGATCATGTTATCCATGTTTAGACTAGTATATTTAAATTTATCGTTCTTATCATGTTTACGGATCCATTGCTAATAATTAAGTATTGATTTCAAAGTTGAGGTTGGTATCGTGGAACCAAATGTTTAAGTAAGACTTGTTCTTGTTAATTCTATCTCCCGGTTGTCATTTATCCATTGCTATGTGGTAAGGGAAAATGTTAATGCACGAAGGGTGATGCCGTGCCATTTTGTGAGTTTTAATGCACGAAGGGTGATGCCGTGCCATGTTGTGAGTGTTAATGCACGAAGGGTGATGTCGTGCCATGTTATGAGAGTTAATGCACGAAAGGTGACGCGTGCCGTTTCTATTGATTATATGGTGAGGTTGAGAGTAAAAGCACGAAGGGTCATGCCATGCATTTTTTTGTTACTGTGTTTACTTGTTCCTATTGGTTCAAGGGATATTGGTTGTTCAAGTTATCATTATCGCTATGATTCTCTATCTTGTATTCCCCTCAGCATGTCACCCTCTCGATATTACCTGTCTAGCTTCTACTTGTTGTTGTTTCGTACATATACTGTTAAATGCACAGGTTTATTATGTGGGTGTCTTGTCATAGCCTCGTCACTACTTCGTCGAGATTAGCCTCGACAGTTACCTGTACATGGGGTCGGTTGTACTGATACTACACACTGCACTTATGTGCAGTTTTGGTACTGGACCGAGCTGATCGTGAGGTTAGCCGCTAGATTGATCGACTGGAGACCCAAGGTAGATCTGCTGGCGTCCGCAAACCCTGGAGTCTCTCCCTAGTCTTAGTGTTTTACTGTTTCTTTTCCTTCAGAACAACGTATTTCCTTTCAGACTCTGTTTGTAGTGAATCATAGTAGCTCGTGAGTTATGACTCCAGATCCTATATGTTTCAGATATTTCGGGTTTATGTTATTCCGCAAAGCTGTATTAGTTTCTGTTTAGCTTAACTGTTCTTATTATTGAAATTGGTTAAAGTTGGTATTAAGAATCCTCTAAAGTTGGCTTGCCTAGCAAGTGAAATGCTAGGCGCCATCACGATCCCGGCGGTAGGAATTCCGGGTCGTGACAACATAGTTTATATTAGATGATGGAGGCTGACATCAATTGTAGAGTGATGGAGGTTTTGGGCATGAAAACAGAAGCGGATCTAAAATTTTTGTTTATGAGATTTTAGTGATAGTTATTTCGTTTATTGGATTCTGAATACAGAACTTGAATTAAAGCAAATAAATTCTACCGAGCCGTAAATGTAACGGTGGCTCCCTAAGCATAGTGAAAACCATTCTCAGGAGTTTGATTAAGTTCATAGAAACTTCCCAAAGGAAAACCACTCTGACCATTGTCTATATATAAAGCAATACCACTCAATTTTTTTCCAGTCTTTGTTTGGACTGCCAAAAGCTTATGGAAAAAGGAAGAAAAGAAAGGAAAAGGAGGAGAATTCCCATTTTGATGCCAAACCAGAGAGAAATGACACTCCACTAAGTCAAAGATAGGTCACCAGATTTTTTTGGCTAATAAATAAGTACTAGTATCATCATAAACTCAAAAAGAAAGCTTATACCAAGCAGTGGCGAAATTAGAAAATTTAATAGGAGTGTTCAAAATTTGTAACACTTTTTGTCAGTGCGCTATGCAAGGACATTCAAAATCTATTTTTTGATCAATAACATATAATATTTTACCCCATACACAGTATAATTTTTCGGTGTAGGGTGTTCAGTTGACCACCGGCCTTGACCACACATAGCTTCGCTCCTGATACTAAAAAGCATTGTTCCTTTTAATGGGTCTCATGACGTGAACCTGAATTAGTTGGTTAGTCAGTCGATTTCGAACACCAGATTGTTATATTGAAAAACAGAAGAAAAAGAACTCATACAAAATCTGATGGTTGTACATAAAGCAATGATATCTCTCTTTGTTATTTGGTTACACCAAACTCTTTCTTTGGCAGAAAGAGGAAAAACTTGTCATGACTCAAAGAGGAAAATTACAATCTTACTAATACATACTATAATATTACATATAGTTAAATATATTTATTTCAATGGTTAATTAGTAATTGGATTAGGACAGGATTAAAGAATTGATCTTTTTGATGATGTATATCAGGAGGTGGCAATTCATTTAGGCTCCCAAATTAGTAAAGACCTCCTTGACTCTTTGCATCGTCTTTGCAAAGGCACCAAATAGTTTATATTTCCTTTGTTGTTCCCTCTCATCAACACCAAGTCTTGCTGCTCATATGCTGCTTTGTTTGTTGTACTCTTGGCATTGGTAGCAGTACTATTGGTTGAAAGAAAGTTGTTGCCTTTTTTTGCAATTGTGGGGCCGTTGGCAATGCTTTCAAATGTTGGCTTCTTCCTCCAAAAATACTCATAGGCATTGAAACATGCCAAGCCAGAGGCTGCGGTCGGTGGTGGAGGAGATGGGATTAGCTGAGGTAGGAATGACCGAGGAATTGTGGTTATCTGGCTTAGCTTCTCCACCAGTTCAGTTGAATCTACAGAACTCATTAAGTTGACAACTTTATTAAACTTGTTAGACCATGTTACAAGATTCTTCACATTTATCACCCCACTTGATAATCTTGGGTTTTGCTCCATCACAATGATCTCATTTTCTATCTCTTCTTCTTGTAGTTCATCTTCTTCTTGTTCAGGATAATCAATATTACTGTAATCTAATTGAGGGGTTTGATCATCAATATCGTCGAACACTTCATTAAAGTCTTCTCTGTAATCCCCCATCTCCGGTTTTGATAATGAAGTAGGAGTACAATCATCAATGAAGGTGAGAAGAAGGCGTCCATCGTGGCGATGGGCATGGAAAAGATTTCGAGAGGGAACCGGAATAGCTTCAAGAATCAATCTACCATCTTCACGTCGAGATTGCATGTGAAGAGAAGGCTTGATTTCCCTATTAGCCAAGGAAGGAATTGGAGGAGGAAAAGATTTCGGAAAAGAAGATGATTTCTTGCTATAATTATATTTTACAACTCGAAATTCCTCAGAGGATTGCGAGTAGCAATATTGTTGTTGTTGTTGTTGTTGTTGTAGTTGTTGATCGTCTTTTTCCTCCTCGTCAACATCTCCGGTTTCAGAAGGAGTGTAGGAGGAAAAGGTATCAGAACCAGTCTCTGATCCAAGACTTTCGGTACAAATTTCAAGACTTTTTTCACTCAAAGAACTAGATGATCTTTTAACAAGAGGGTGAATATAAGGAGTTTCAAGATTCGACATGTCATGATCATCTTTCTTTTTCGACAAAATTGAGCTCCAAACATCAAGTGAGGAAGAATGATCATTAGTAGAAACAACAGCAAGATCTTTTGATGAAGCAATTCTTTTCATAGAAGAAAAAAATCCATTTTGTGCTAGCCATTGTTTAGAGGACATATCAGCTGAAAATGTTCTTCTGATAGAGGCTGCACTTGATTTTCCTCTGTTAGATTCTGATCCAAGAATTGACACTATGCCTTGTTTCTCTTTACTTGCCTTAGGCAAAGGTATTATTGGTGGTTTACTCAATTGTGGTGCTATTGTTTCTTCTTCCATTCTTGTAGATAAGTTGAAGTTCTTGTTGCTTATACAAGTTGTTGACATCTTCTTTGTAGTCCAAGAAACAGACAGTAGAAGAAGATAAAAACAAATCCCTTTTTCCCTGCACAAAAAGTTAAAGTCAATTATGAGAAAAATAACAATAACAAACTCATTATAATCCAACAAGTGCGATCTGGAAAGAATAGTGTATGCGGATCTTACTTTTACCTGGTGAAAGTAGAGAGGCTGTTTCCGATAAATTATGAGAAATGAACAAGAAAAATGAACCATATATACTTCAACGGCTCGAACCCCTGACCGATAGGCAGGGGCGGACCTACTGCATAGACTATGGGTTCCCCGGAACTCAGTAAATTTTGCGTAAACCATGTATTTATATTAAGAAATTCATTAAATATTGGTAAATATCTGACTGTGCACCCAGTTATTATTGCATATTAATTTGAAATTATGGTAGGAACCCATAAGCCTCAAATCCTGGATCCGCCTCTGCCGATAGGTCACACAGAGATAACTTTCTTCCCTTTATTTAGTTTATTGCGTCATTCAGCACACGCTTTTGGACCCCAACTAATTCGAATTCATGCCATTAAAAGAGAAAGTACTCCATACAAGGATTTTTTTCAATTTTAGGGCTCAAACTCGAGATATTTGATTAAGGGTGAAGAGATTCTATCCATCCTAATACAACTCTTAGTATTCCTCTATTTAGCTTATTATTTATATTGATAAAATTACTGTATGTTTAAGTTCTATAAGTGAGTATGTACAAGTTTATACACGCTAAGTATAATTTAAACGGTTTTGATGAGTTACTCTTCTTTTTCAAAGTTATTATCTGATGTTCATTATTAAACAGTTACTTGCTAATTTGATCGTGTAAGGAGATTTTATATTATTAATGTTTAAAACTTCAACTTATCATAGAGACCGGCTGCTCACGATGAGATTAATTCTGTTGTAAGTTTAATATTTACAATAATGTAGTCAAGATCTGATTTCACCAAATTGACTTAATAATATCCGCATGGCATTACTTAAAAAAGAAAAATCTATGTTGTGTAACACATTATAAAAATAAAAACAAGAACCCATTATGTGTCACTTAGGGAACACATCGGGCATTATTAGGTTGAGTCGAAAAATATTTTTATATTTATTTTTACTAAGTGGTGTCACATAGTTAGTATGTAAGTAAGTGCTGATATGACTGTACTTACATGTCAATTTTCCCAACTAACATTTTCGGACATTTTTATTTTCAGCGGCATATATAGCGTAAAAAAAGCATGGGCTAACCAGTTTTTGGATTGGTCATTTAAAAATAGCCAGCCTTTGCAAAGTCATTGAAAAATAGCTACTATTTTGTTGCAACACGGAAAGTTCCAGCATAATATACTAGAGATCGGTGCACCTGTGTATGAACTTCTAGCATATTATCCAGCATAAGTATACTGGAGTATTTTTTTGGATTTTGAACAGTGTTTCCGTTCAGGTTTATCTTTGCATAAAAAGTGGCTAAATTTCGATTACTTTTGAAACTCTGGCTATTTTTGAATAACCACTTGTAAATCTGGCTATTTTTTGAATTTTTCCCATATATAACTGAAGTTGAGTTTTTCATACTAAAATAAACAAATATTTGTTTTATGATTTTGGTAAAATAAACTGAAAATTAAATGACCATCCGCCAAAGAATTATAGAAAAACAAAGATGGTGAGGATTAAAGGGAGAGGTACACACAGTACAAAAAGTGGGCAACTCTCATTTTCACCATTTATGTGAACATTCTTATATATTCAGTAGTTCGTAAATGGCATTTTACTAGGTCGAATGAACTTCTGGGGAATTTGTGAAAGCTACTTAACATTTGGCTTTTTACTAACTTACTTATTTTTTCTTGTTTTCTCATCCAGGTGTGTGATATAATTTGCTTTACATTCTGTTTGGATCATTGTTCCCCGTTGTTTTATAATGTACTGTATTGTATTGTATCGTATCGTTTTATAAATACAATATTTAGATTGTATGGTTCGTTATTGTTAAATAATATTTGTTGTTTAGTTTGACTGTATCGTACTGTACTGTAACTGATAAGTTTACTGAAATACCCTCAATATTTAAATAGTAAATTTATCAAAAATTATGCATAAAAATAATTTTGAAAAATAAAACAGAAGAAGGCAAAACACCTTAAGAAAGCAGAACAAAGGAGTGAGACAGAAGAAGGTAAAACAAAGGAGCACATCTAATTAGAATTGAGTTAAAAGCAAATTAGGAGAAAAAATAAAACAAGAGGCGGTAAAACACCTTTAACGTTGGCGGCAGAAGTTCTGAAAAAAAAAAATAAAGTAGGTTATAGGTTGAAGATTTGGAGTTAAAATAGAAAAAAAATGTAAAGGGTAAAATAGAATTGTGGAGTAATAAGTTAGGGCATACTTGGAAAGAAAAGTAGGAAACAATCCCACCACACCAAATCGATTGCTTCAAAAAAGGGGACTTTTCATTGTTCCAGAACAATGGATTTAACAATACAGTACAACCAATTTTAATGAAACAATCAAAACAAACATTGTTTTGGGATAACAATACAATACGATACAACGGGGAACAACCATCCAAACAAGCTGTTAGGGTTTTGACTAATTCGGATACGCTTCAGGAGTCTCACTTTGGGGGTAAACCGCTCCCTACCAAAAATTATTCTATATCCAGCCTCAGATCCGAGACCTCTGGATAAAAATGGAGGAGTACTTATCAGGTTATTATTCAAATGGCTTAATTACATGTGTGTATGTCAACTTAATCCAATTTTATCTTCTTATATCACAATACAGCTAATACTTATCATCATCTTATCCTGATAAATAATCTTCATCTAATTACCTCTAATTACATATCGAAAAAGAAAGAATTGGAAAGAATATATGCTGTGAATTTATGGAGCTAATATTTGTAAGCATACTCAGTTGAAAAGAAAACTCAATTAATCTGAATTTGTGCTGCTGTAAGACCTATTAAAAAGAAACCCTACGAAATTTTTTCATTTACAAAACTCGTAAGCACTACTATTAAAATCTTTTACAAACTTAATAATAGAATCTTGATTTTTAAAATAATTAAATAAAATAGTTGAGAAAGGACTTAAGAATATGATTAAATGATTTAATAAAGTAATAGTATATATTAATTAACCATGAATAAGTATCTAATGCGGGCAAATTTTTACCGTCAACGGAAAACAGAATTGAGTTTTCCATCCAAGAGAGCGGGTTGACAAAACGCAATATAATATAATTAAATAGAAAATTAGTACAAATTTAGGTAAAGTGATAAAGGGGAGATAGTTGGATGAGAAAGATGGCTTAAAGAACAAGCAAAGCAATCACCTATACGAGGAGTTGTCATGCAAAAGCAACTCCATCAAAAGAATTATCATCATTTATCTTTTTAAAATAAACTACTTTTACTTTTAGCGATCGTTTGGTTTGAAAATATATTATGCTGGGATTAATTATACTGAAATTAGTTATATTGGAGTTAGTTATGCTGTGATTAGTTATGGGTATTATATTTTATTGGTTGTTGGTATGTTGTGTTAATCATAGGATATCAATTTTACTGCTTTATCCTAGGGTTACTATTCTACCTTCTGAGGGGTATAAGTTATCTCGGCACTAACTTTAATCAAAGAATAACTTATTCCATGATTAGTAGCCAAACAAGGGATAACGAGGTACTAAATTTTCATCCAAGAATATTTTTTCTTATCCATCATATCAAACGACCCTTACTCTTGAAAATAACCTAATTTACTAAAGATATACATGCAATGAGCGTGGGTGACTCAAGGGTGATGCTAGTAAAGTCTTTGCATTAATGCCCAAAAATTTTGAGGCCCCAAAAAAATATTAATGGTATAATACGTAATAATATTTTCACTTATACAACACTGATCAAATTTGTAGAAGAAACTATAAAATCTGTGTAAAAAAGAAAAAAAAACAAAGAATGTCTACTTTTTAACATAAGATATATTCTAGTACTTTGAATTAAACTACCCAAATCTTTATATTAGCAAATACAACAAGATTGATAAGTGCATTTTACTTGATTTTTAAACATATAATTTCTTTGTAAAAACACAAAAACTATCATATTTCTTTCATACTTTTGTCTAAATTATGCAGGAAAAGTTAAAGAAGGATTGGTCCGGGAACGAGAAGATTACGGAGGAAAAAGTAGAAAAACGGACAAGCTAAAGCAAAGTAAAATAGTGCTAAAGAAAGACATTGTATAACGTGATCTGCCATGACAAAGGACAACCGACTCACAACCGACTACAACAAACTATAACCGATCCATAACTAACCTACAACAGAAGATCATAACCAAGCATAACAAGGCCACAACCAGCCATAACAAGTTCATAACCAAGAGTGTATTGAAAAGTTTGTCATGACTTGGCTATAAAAGAGGCATCAATCGTTCGGGAAGAGAAGAAACGAAAAATCTGAGAAGTGTAATATTGAGCAGAAAGTTTTTCCTTTCTCTTTGTTCTTTAGTTTTGCTTTTGTTTCTTCTTTTAGCCATTACTTTGGCTTCATTTCTTGTTCTAAATAAATTGTAGTATTGGAAATTACTCTAGTTCCTGTTTTTTAATTAAATAGGAGGAATTATTCTCTTGAATATTTCTTTCTATTTTCTTATTTAATAGGCAAGATTATTTCCGTTGTCGGTATTAACTCCATTATGGAGTAACTTTTCTTGTGTTGGGAAAATAGCGGATCTTAATATTTTTATATAATAGTAGATATTATTCTTCAATTTCACATACTT